TTTACATAACATCAAAGCTTGGCTTAGAAAATCTATAAGAAAAATACCTTATTTCTTACTAAAGAGTAATTTTTGTGTATAATATTTTATTAAAGAAAGAAATTAATGAAACTCAATAAAATGTCAAGTTTTAATAATCTTCTACAAGTTGATGAGATCAACAAGTTTTTGGTGAAAATAACTTCTATGTATGGAGCTTAAAGTTGAAGACTTTTTTGCAAGCTAAAAACTTATTGAAAAACTCTCACTATCAATATATCCATGATCATACAATGGGCATATGTTGTCAAAAATCCAAATACAAGAAATGATGGCAAAAGCAATGAAGATACTAATTTTTGTTATAAAAGATGATTTAGTAGATATAATAATTGAACATGAAGACAACATGTTTAGAAAATAGAAAATCAAGTCACATAGACACATTTATTGACATTTGGTGGTCTATTTCTAAACATGTTGTCTTTTGCTATGTGACTTGATTTTCTATACAACAAAAGACAACATGTTTAGAAATAGACCACCAAATGTCAATAAATCTATAACAAGTATCATTGAAGTAAAAATTAACTCATCAAATTTTGAATAAAAAAAAGTATTTCAAGAAATAAAGGTGAATTTTACTATATATATATATATATATATATATATATATATATACTTCAATTGATATTTTAATAATAGAGCTTCACAACATTTAATACATAACAAGTCAGTATTGATTTCTTTCAAATCAATAAGTCAATTTTATAAAATCAGAGCTGCTAGTAGTGAACTACATAATACATCTAGAAAAGAAAAAAGTTCTTATAAAAATAAATAATAGAAAATCAAAGAAGGTAAGCAATATTTTAGTTATAACTTCTTTGAGAAAGAGCTTGTTGTCAATTTGTTTCTTTGCAAACAAAAGAGACATTGTGATCTTCTCAATTGACAAGCACTAGGTTATTGATCAAAGAGAAAAAAAAAAGTATTATTATCATTAGATTTTAAGAACCAAATAAAGGTTTGCATAATATAAATCAAACTACATTAGATAATAATTCTATTGTTATAAAAATAATCCAAATTATAATACAATAGGTTTGGACATCTTGCTTATTTAAGTTTGAAACAACTTTATATAAATAAAAGAATTAGAGGCTTATCTTTTATTCATATTGTACCTAAAGAAGTATGTAATGATTGTAATATTTATTATTAATACAAAATAATTTTTCTAAATAAATTCTTAATAAATTCGAAAAATCTATATAATTAATTCATGTCAATTTAATTGAACCTATTTCTAAACAATTGTTAAGTGGCACCATATTCTTTATTAAGTTTATTGATGATTATTCTCTAAGAAGTTGGATTTACTTTCTTAAATTCAAAGATAAAGCTTTTTTCAAATTTTTCATATTTAAGATATAAGAAAAAAATAAAATATTTGAAAAACTATTGATGTTAAAGACAAACAAAGAAAAATAATTCTTATTACAAGAATTTTAGAACTTTTGTCAAAAATATGGAATAGCAAGACAATTAATCTAAGTATTTACTTTTCAAAAAAATAAAATTATTGAGAGGAACAATAGAACCATTGTTAAAAAAGCAAGAAGTTTATTTTATCAAAGCAAGCTATCTTCAATCTTATGGCTTAAAGCCATCAATACAACAAATTATCTTGTGAACTAATGTCAAATAAATTCTAAAAATAGAAAGATATCTAAAGAATTATATGACAAAAGAAAATTTGATATACATCATCTATTGACTTTTGGTTGTATAACTTATTTATATATATATTAAAAGAACAATGTTCAAAGCTTGATAGTAAAATAAAGAAGTACATTTTTGTTAGACATGACTCTAATAGCAAAGCTTATTGACTTTATAATACTATAAAGAAGAAGATAATTATCAACAAGGATGTAATTTTTGACAAATTAAGAATTAGATATCAAAATCTTAAAAACAAAAATGACGATGAAAACCTTTAAGATATATTTTCTACACTAACTAATAATACAAGTAGAAATACTACACCAATATAAGATAAAGAAGAACTTAGATAATATAAAATTCAATACATAGAACCAAAAGACTTTTCTTTTCATCCACAAATGCCAATAAAAACAATAGGGCAATCTTTTCCTATTGTGCATTCATCAACAATTTCATGTTTTATCCACTCGAGCTCAAAAATTATTTTAAGAATGAACACGTACAAACAATCTTCTATTAAATTCAAAGACAATTGGTTATTAAATACATATTCTAAATTAAATTCAATTGATTATTTTTAAGTAAATAAAAATAGAAATTAAAAATAGACTATTGAATAAGAAATTTAAAATATAAAGAAAAAAGTTACATAGGAAGTTTGTGATTTGTCAACTAGAAAGAAGCTCATAACATCCAAATAGATCTTCAAAAAGAAAACTAGAGTTGAAAGAAGTCTTAAAAAATACAAAGTTTGAATTATTACACAAGGATTTGAACAGTGAGAAGAAGAAGATTTCTTTGAAGCATTTTCTCTTGTCATAAGATGGAGCACAATTAGAATAATTATTGCACTAGCTGTATTTTAATAATAGAAAATAAAATAATGATAATAATATATTAAAACAGCTTTTTTAAACAACATACTAGAAGAAGAAGTATACATGATTATTCCACCTGGCTTTGAAGGATATTGAAATAGCAAAAAGGTTTGCAAACTTAAACAAGTTTTATATCATAGTAGCCAATCTAATATTACATGCAAGAATCAAATACATTGAAATGCATTTTTATTTCATCAAAAAGAAAGACTCAACTTAGAGAAGTTAAAGTTTTATATATTTAGACAAAGAAGTAACTAGTAAATATATTGAATAAACTAATTAGCAAAATGTAACATGTCAAGCTAATAAAAAAGATGGGTTAACTCATCTTCTTTTTTGAAATCTATGCTTGTTGCATACTAAAATTATAACCTATATATGTAAACAAAAACCTTACTTGATAAGCTCTTCTATATTTGTTTTATAGACTATCATAGACAAACTATATTTATTCTTAAATCTATGTAATAAATGCCTAGGTCTTATGCTTTTAGCCATGATATGTTGTCCATAGCGAAACGTGTTAACTTTTACAAATATCAAAATACTTTAGTAATTGGTAGATTCTATCTCTGTCATCTAGTCCTTGTTTAAATCATATAAACTTATAAGAAGAAAAATGTTATTAATTCTCAAAAGTTCACTCAATATCTCTCTCCTTATAAAATTTATATTAACTCTTAATTGTGAAAGTAGTAGATTAGAAGTAGTAGGACTTTTATAAGTTTCACAATAAATATCAGGGTCAAAATCTATACTATAGGATGAGCTTTGCCTATTGTTAAGATAAGAATTTTTAAATATGTTTAGGGATTGGCATAACAAGTGATGAATACATGTAATTATGGAATTACAACCTCTCTTTAAAAATGTCACCAAAAACCATACACCTAGCAAAATATCTCATGCTAAATCAATATGAGTATGAATTATAAAAAATAGTAAGAAAGATCAACAAAAAAATAAGAAAAATAAGGAATAAAGGGAACTTATCAGTCAGAGACAATCAACTTGCTTGCTCAGCACACGCATGAAAAAAGACAACATCATAGTATAGTTTCTCCACATGAAAGTATAAAAAGGAAGAAATCTTGAACTAGAGGAGATATTTGTGAAAATGAAGTGC